TGACGAATGTGGGTTATACATAAACTCAGGCTTTTTCTCCTACATGATAAAATCCGTTCGAGCAGCGCACGTTATTGTTGCTCTTGTTTTTATTTGATAAGGATTATGGTAAAATGTGACAGAAACTAAAGTTTGATACGTCTTCAATACTAAAATAGGTTATATACATCAGTTTCTTGTTAGTTAGGTCTGACAGTTATTGTAATTATAATTTTTGAACAAGTATATATACTTTTTAATTGTAATATCATACGACTCTGAAAAATAACAAATAAAAATAGGATGTTTTCTAATTGTAATATCATAACTAGGACAAAAATACTGCTACAAGAAAATAAAACAAAATAGCATAAAAATGCTGAATTTTCTCATCAAGAGATAGGGGGGAATGAAATTCTGCACTACATATATTTTGTTATGAAGGACCGGAGTAAAAAGGGAAAGACAAAGCATAATTTAAATATGACGAAATTTACTAATCAATAAATATTGTCGATCATACGAGAAGATTATGATGAAATTGAATACGCAAATTTGGCGTAAGACCAAACTTCTTTAATTGTATTGCATACTCATGCATGCTATGATTGTTCAAGAATTTATTGAACACATAGAATACAAACTATAAAAATCTAGAGTCTCCAGAATCTTAATCCCATTATTAATTAAATTAATTGCAAACCTGGAAATTAACCCATTTGTGCTTCCACTACTCCTTTACGTTTTCCATTTAATTAATTTATATACATGCTCCGATGCAACATATATATGTACATAAAATAATTACGGAAAATGATATATTAAAAATAGACTATCAATAACAAACCTTACAAAGTATAGAGAGAATCTAAGTTATTGAGGCCAGGTAATAAAAGCAAGATCGATCTCGTAGATGTGACAATGTTTTAGATCTGTGAAAAATCATATTTATACTATCTTTTGAGCCATGAAAAAGCGCTTGAAGGGCATATATTTTGTAAATTCCAGCATATCGGGATAAGAACTGCCATTATTAAGACAATGAAGAAAAGTGGGTGTTCATGTTAAAGAAAAGACACCATAAGTCAAACTTCTATCCGCCCTAATAATTAATTAATTCAACTTTATGCATTGGGAAGACATTACAATAAGAACACTATAAATGTCTAAACTTTTTTTTTTTTCCAACGATATAATAATCTCATTAGCATCAAAACAACAAAACCAAGTTTGACAAAAACCGAATACAAACCCGAAAAAACACACAGAGAGAACCACTTAAAAAATGGCCTAGAAACAAATCCCAACTACACCTAATGGCAAGGACAGCCCCTCGAGACCAAAGGTGATAATACACAAGCTAACCCCAAACTAGTAACAAACAACCAAACAACAAAATTACATAGCTAAACAAAAAATAAAAATAAGATAAGAAACTCCTGCAAGAGGTGTATTCTTGCCATTCACGCCAAGCCCCATGAACCACCACCTCTTCAGGAATCCAAACACCTTCGAAGACCCACAAATTTCGTGACCGCCATAGCCACCAAAGAATATACGTCGAAAGTTGAATGCGGTCCTCTGAAATCTCGGAGTTCTTCGTGGAACAGATACTCCACCACCAACATTTGAACGAGGAATGTTGCGTTTGTTCCCTGTCCCAACTAACCGGGGCTAGCTTCCAAATTCGAGTTGCTCGTCTGCATTTAAAAAACAAATGTTCAACCGATTCATCATCTTCTCCGCACATTTTACAAATTGTATCCACCTGCACACCCCGGTTCACCACTTTTGTGCTTACTGGTAGAATCCCATGAATACACTTCCACACAAAATGTTTCAATTTCTCTTTCACCTTTAACTTCCAACTTCTACATCTTATTTTCCTGTCCACTCCTGCCGAGGTGCTGCACTCTGGAATATCGAGTTGTACCAGTTTCTGCCCCATCAGTTGCTTATAAGAGCCTGCCACTGAAAACTGGACCTTCTCATCCAAGAGCCAACTCCATCTGTCTGGTAAATTACGCTTCAGCTGTTTTATCTCCAGAATAGCCTGCCTATCTCGATGATTGAATATTTCACTCAACATGTCTTCATTCCATCTCAACCCATCTTCAGACATTAGATCATGAACCCATGTAACAGAATTCCTCCATTCTCCCAAAGGTTGAGGGCTGCAATGCCCAAGTTTGGGAACCCAGCTATGATCCAAAATTTCAGTATCTTTCCCGTTTCTAATCTCCTTTCCAACTCTTCTAGCCAAGATAGGTATGAGGGTTGTCCAGCTATTCCATAGCCATGAGCCCGTACTGGATTTTTTCACATCAAAGATCGTAGAAGAGGGAAAATACCTGGCTTTCAATACCTTACTCACAAGCAGCTCCGGGTTTGTAGTGATTCTCCATAGTTGCTTCAACAACATAACTTCATTAAAGACTTTAAAATCCTGGAACCCTAACCCATCTCTGTCTTTGGGTATAGACATTCTGCTCCATTTCATCCAATGGATTCCTTCCTGCCTGCCCATTCTTTTTCCACCAGAAGGCCGCAGCTAGCCTACTTAACTCTGTGCAAAAACTCACAGGTAATTTAAAACACGACATAGAAAATACCGGCAAGGCATTAATAACCACTTTGATTAGTACTTCTTTCCCGGCTGTGGACAGGTATCTGCTTTGCGAACTTATCAACCTTTTTCTGACTGATTGAAGAATATATTCAAAGGCTTCTTTCTTTGATTGCCCTATACCCAGTGGCAACCCCAGATATCTGGTGGACTGATGGACTTGAATCCCTTGCATTAGATTGCATAGATTTGAGATCATAGACACTGAAGTATTCTTACTGAAAAAAACAGTAAACTTTGCCAAATTTACTTTCTGTCCAGAGAAAACTTGATAGATATGTAGGATCTTCAACAAAAGAAGGGCTTGGGTTGATTCTGCCTTACAAAAAACTAGTGAGTCGTCAGCAAACAGTAAATAACTCACCATAGGACCACCCCTGGCAATCCTCACACCCCTAAAAGAACCTTCCTGCACTGCTTCATTAATCAGAGAGGAGAACACTTCTGAAATTAAAATAAAAAGGTAAGGGGATATGCCTCAACCCTCTAGAAGGCTTCAAAAATCCAACAGCAGTACCATTAAGCATAAAAGAGAATGATGAGGTTGAGATACAAGCCAATACCCATTTAATGAATTGAGCATTAAACCCCAACTTCTTCATGGTTTTGTGAATACATGGCCATTCCATTCTATCGTAAGCTTTGAGCATATCAAGCTTTAGAGCCATATAACAGTGTGGCCCTGACCGATGTCTATTCATAAAATGAATCACCTCTTGCGCAACAACAACATTATCGAGAAGTTGTCTTCCCAGAATAAAGGCTGCTTGAGAGCAGCTAACAGACACATCCAGGCAACATTTTAATCTCCTAGCCAAAATCTTGGAAATCAGTTTGTATACCACACTACATAAACTTATCGGCCGAAATTGACTCTCTGACTGGGGATTTAAGCATTTAGGTATAAGGATTACTAGCGTGTGGTTCCAGTACCTCAGAATCTGATTAGATTGAAAAAAGCTTTGTACCGCTGTGCACAAATCTGGTTTTATCAACGACTAAAAGTGTTGGTGGAAGAGTGCCGTCATCCCGTCTTCTCCTGGAGCTTTGGATGGGTTCATTTGGAATAGTGCTTGTAGTATTTCTTCCTCTTCCACCTCAGCAATCAATTGAGCATTCATTTCTGGAGTGATAACTTCTTTGATATTTGCTAGAGCTTCATCTTCAGCCAGAGAAACTTCTGATGTAAACAGTTCCTCATAGAATGTGGTAATATGCCGAGCAATTCTTCTTCCTTGTTATAAGTTCTGTCCCTGTCCACAAGTCTAGTGATTGCATTCTGTTTTCTCCTACTCACCACCATAGCATGGAAAAACCTTGTGTTATGGTCCCCTTCTTTTAGCCACATTACTCGTGATTTTTGTTGCCAAAATTGTTCCTCCTCACAGTGAGCAGCCTCGAGTTCTCTTTTTATAGTCTCCCACTCCTCCCAGTTCCTTTCTCCTCCTAATTCTCTCATTTCTTCAAGTTTTAGGGATAGTTTCTGAACCTTTTCTTTCCTCTCTGAGTTAAATGCTTTACTCCACCTGCTGACAGCCATTCTAGAGCTCTTAATCTTTTCTTTCAGAGTGAAGAAAGGAGTGCCCATTTTTGGTTCTGCCCAAGCTTATGTCACAGTCTCTACTAACCTAGGTCTGCTCAACCATCTTTTATCAAATGTAAATCGTCGCTTCTTGGATACTTCCCCACTTTCAGTATTTAGCACCAGAACTCCATGGTCAGAGGCACTCTTGAAATCATTTGTTATCACAGCCTGTGGATATGATGCCATCCATTCTAAAGAGACAAAAGCCCTGTCAAGAGTTTCTTCCACATACCCCTCATCCACTCTATTATTTCCCCATGTATATTGATATCCTTCCATCCTGATCAGAGTCATCCCCATGTTGGCAATAAATGAATTAAACCCTCTAAAGCTGCCTAATGATCTGAGCCTGCCTTCCTTTTTGTCCTCTACACTAATAATGTCATTCCAATCACCTAGAATGACCCAGACATCACCCCATAATTCCTTCTCTGCTTCTAGAACCAGCCACTGCCTTTCTCTGATCTCCTTACTTGTACTCATGTAAGTGAATATAGCCCATTCTGGTTCTGTCTCAGCATTCAG